CCACCCCCCCCCCCCCAAAAGTGCAGATCAAAATTGCAACTTTGCGCTGTTACGAACGTCGCCTCCCCCACACTGGTACTGGCGCATCTCCTTCGCTTTGGTTGCAATGTCAAAGAGAGAGAAGGTAGAGACGGGCCCAAACATTATCTGCAATTCACCTCCCCAATCCACAGCAGCGTCGGAAAAGAAAATGAGGGCTGCAACGTACAGCAGTGTCGCCTCCCCACGTTGGCGCCGACACTGGTGCATCTCCTTCTTCATCATTGCAGTGTTTGAATGGATCATCGGCGTCGAGAAAAAAGAAGGAAGAGACGGGATGAAATTTGAAAATGGGTGAAATGATTAGGGTTTTTAATTGAATTGGATAAATTAATTATATAATGCTTAATTTTTGCATAAATAAACTTCACCCATGAATTTTGAATTCGAAAGTTTAAGTACCTTGTTTTAAGTAATTTCCACAATTTCTTTTGCTTGGCATTCACTGGTCAAAGATTTCTTGTGGGTTCTGTCAAGCATAAGTGGCCATATCATATTTATAGGTGGTTAATTATTCGTCTTGCCTCATCTTGGAAGCCCAACTCCTAGTTGGATTTATTGCTTTAATTTAAAAATTAATCAAGATACACATTTCTAGATGACATTATATGGGTTGGCAAAATTTATGCCATTAATTGTTTAAAATATTGTCAAAATCAATGTATAAAAAACTATCAAACTCACAAGAATGTCATCCATGTGTACATATAGCAAGATTGTTAATTTTAAAAAAGGCCGAATATATTTTCATTCTGAATTAAGTCACATTTAATTTGTCATCCATTTTGCTAGTAGATTCCATAAATTATAGAAGAAATTCAAACAAAACAATTTTTTTCCTTCTAATTTAGTCGAGGAAGATGAATTAGGTCCAAATGATTTTAAAGTTCTTTTCATCCAAATATCTTCTAGATTGAACTAGGTACAAAATGATTTTAAAGATCTTTTAGTCTAAATTAGTCAATGTTAAACGTGCATTGCACGTTATTATAAGATGCTTTATAAATACTGTTAAAAGTAATATTTGAATATGCGTAAATGTTAATTAATTTAAAATTAGTACTAGGGAATATATAATGAGTGCTAAATCATTTATTTAATTTTCAATTAAGTAAAATTATATTTAATTAGTATACATGAACGCGAATAATGAAATGTATTTTTGAATGTGAAATTTTAATTAACATATAATCAGAATTAATAACAATGAAATGCACAAATAAAGATAAATATTAATTAAATGAAGCAATGAGAATGTTAATTAATTGAGAATTAATAACAAAGAATTCATACATTAATGAAGCTACACGGGTTAAATGAATCTATCAAATGCACGTATACATAGATGGTAACTAAATAGTTAAATAAATTAAATATATATTGAAAACGAAACGTAAGATATTATTAAAATAATTGAATTATAGTAAGGCTAAAATCATTCAAAAAATGATTTTCACTTGATGTGATATTTAATATATTATAGATTATAGAAGTCTTCTAGACAATCTAGTCAAAGTATCGTGAAAATAGAGTATTAAATAGTCTAAAACTCTCTCACTTTGTCTAATTTAACAAGAGTGCCTAAATATTTTAAAACTTACGAAAATCGAATACAAGTTACACTTCATTACAAGTAAAATAAATAAATTAAATTTATGAAAGTTCGAATGCAAACGGATGTGACGGGTCTCCTACCATACACATCCAAATTTGTTTCCTACTCCAATTGGGTTCGTTACCCCCATCAATTTCTGGAGCCAATTTAAGGGCTCCTCCGGCACGGTACATGGACAGCTCGAGAGTCTCCATGCCCTCACACGTGTGGGCCAGCTTCTTAAGTGGGACCGACATTGAAATTGGTTGACTTTTGTAGAAAAGTCCATAAAGATTTGGTGACAGGGTAGTTGACCACTCTCCCCCACGTCACTAGATGACACAAAATGCAGCTAAACCTAAACCCAATCTGCAGGTCAACCCATTTGTCTCTTCTTAATAGGATCATATTGCCTTAAATTATATGGGACACACATCCAAAGTCAACCACATATACATACAAATACAAGATAATAACTTCCCTTTATTCGAAGCAACCACAAATTTGACCATTTCAAACTCATTTTCATGATTTCATCACATCATTACCATTTTTCTTCGAGTTTGTATCTAATATGTTGGTTTTATAAGCTCATGTATGCCCGACTAGCCATTAAAATCCTTCTTTTTCTTTCTTCACTAAGGCAAGGTCGAGGTTAGTTGCTGCTCCATTCCACTGCAATCTCATGAACTAAACCTCGTTGCATTCGACTTTTGTAACTTTTCTAACATATATACTTTGCGGGATTAGTTAAAAATAAGGAAGTAAGGAATATAAAATGCTCCATCAATGCATTGCTACTATATATTCGTTAGGTTCAATTTTTGAATGGTTTGGTGATTGAATATTGGTTTATATCAACCGACACTCTAGTTCACAATGATACAACTTTTATGTAACAAGGATAATGAGTTGGCTGTTTATCCCTAACATCGCCAACATGCTTCCGTTTATTATTATTTTCATTATATATATATCACTACATGTATTTTTCCATATATTTTTAATAGTTGACTCTAGCCGGGTGGTTCAGGTAAGCTTGGTCCACCTTTGTCCCTCAATGTATCTATCTAATCAAAGCATCATAACAAGACAAACTAATAATGTATATATAGATGAAAAGATTGGGGAATAGAAAAATTATTAAGATATGGGCACTGTAAATATAAAAATGGATCGATTACTTTTAAGTAAGTAACCATAATAAAATTCTTATTTGAAGTACTTGATATGCAATTCAAAAATTTGGTAAAATGCTAAACCCTCTCTCAAAAATATCGTGTCGATGAAAATTGTTGAATTAACAATTTTTCATGGGCACGTATCATGATTCATGAATAAACTCTTCAGTTAGAGGTTCTATGTTGTATAAATTTTTTTACTAGAATTCATTTTTGAAAATATCAAGTATCGAAAATCTCAGTAAAAAGCATTCAATAAATAATAACTTGCTTAACTCATATTTTGATAAAGAAAATACTATATTGTGGCACAATTAGAATCAATTTACGTGACAATACACTCACATGTAAATAATAGGTGTACTGAAGTGTTACGTCCTTGTTTGAGTCCCATTCTATTGATAAGAATGAATTTTTAAATAGTATATTGATGGGAAATGTATGGTTAAAAATAAGAAAAAAATTTAGATTTGCGCGTAATATTACTTTATTGAAGAATGTGTGGTTGAAATGATATCAAAATACTGTTTAAAAATAATTTTTTTTTTTCAAATAATGGGAATCAAACAGGGACATAGAGATGTAAAACTAATTTTATTAGATTTATTATTTAATGCTATTATGTTGGTGTTCTATAACATTTCTTGAATGCGATGTTTGATTGTTACTTAACCCCTATTTAGTACAAATTCTTTAAAATTCAATTTTCATCAACTAATTTCAATTACACATTTTTTTAATAAAATAATTTTATATGTGAACTCATAATTTTTCCTACTTTTAATTACACATATTCCGAAAAAAATAATTTTTTCACAAAATTTATCTAAAAAAAAAATTACATAAAACAAGCCGTTACTTTACCTTTGGTAAAAACAACAATAATGAGCTGCCAAGCTGCCTGGGGAATGTGGCAGGTTGACAAGATTGGCATTTCAAAAGTCAACCTACTAAACAAATGAGCAACATTGTGCATGACAAAATTAACAACATGACCTAATTTAGTATTTGGCCCATTTTCTAATAATTATTTTTCTAAGAATTCATTTTTAACCATTTTATTATAAAGTTCACAACTTTTTAATTATATATTTCATCAATTTTTATTAAAATCTATTAAAAATCTAATTTTTTTTTGTTGATTTATTCACTAACTAGCAACTGCCAACTAAAGCTATATAATTTAAACTCAGAGGCAACAGACACAAACATCAAACCTTACACTTCATCTGCTCCACTTTGAACTACCTTTTTCTCATTTCATAATCCCTTCTCTTACTCATTCTTAACACTCGTCAAAAACCACAACAATGGAGAAACTAAAGGGTATTCCTTCAACAGAAGGATATGAAGATGATCTTATAAGAGAACTTCTAGACAACGAATCACCCTTGTTTATGCCTTATCAAGAACCATCAATGGAAACAAACTCCACTACTTCTTCTTCATCTGATTCAACCATTAACCCGCTGCTCGTCTCAGCCCTCCATTCGAGTCCTACGTTACAAGATGATGATATAGAGAGAGCTTTATCATACACAAATTATGAAGCTATACCAGAAGCCTGCAGGTTAATTATTTATAGATTCTGTAGGTTCATTTCACTTCTTTTTTTTCCTTTTTTACCTAGTTTGATCTTTTTCATGTGTAGAACTTCATTAATGATGGAAAGAGGCTTGAATAAAGAACAGGAGAGCAAGTATTCTATGAGAATCAAGTGTTGTGGCAATGTAATGGCTGATGATGGCTATAAGTGGAGGAAATATGGTCAGAAATCAATCAAGAATAGCCCACATCCAAGGTAACGACTTTAAAGTAAAATATAGGGTTGTGGGTTAATCAAATCATTACAAATTTATTGTTAAGACAACCCATAATTACTTATTTTATACATGAAGAAATGAATCGTAAAGAAAATATTATCCACACGATAAGTAGAGACGCTCTTTAACCTATTCGTCGTGTTGTTATCTTTTTGTATTTGGAGACAGTCGAAACACTAGTTTATCCTTTACTTGATCATGTATTATAAAATACAATTATGCTACATGTACATCACAACATATAGATCTAATGTTTTTTCTTCTTTATCAAATGTAGAAGCTATTATAGGTGCACAAACCCAAGGTGTAGTGCTAAAAAGCAGGTGGAGCGGTCCAGCGATGACCCGGACAGCCTCATCATCATATACGAAGGGCTTCACCTCCACTTTGTTTACCCATTTTTGTTGCTCAATCCACTGGACCAAATTGATCCACCAACAAAGAAACAAAAGGGGCCCACATTACGAGACCTAGACCATTCCAAGGAAGACCAAGAAATCCAAAATTTCAATTCACGCCCAGTATTAGGGGATTATGGGCCAGGCCCACAAGGTCTTCTTGAAGATGTGGTACCATTGACGATTAGAAAGCCGTTGGTCAATGTTGCTTTGTCCAATTCTACGTATTATTCTTTAGGATTTGAGACGAATATGTAGAACATGTTTAGTGCATGGTATATGAGAAATATATATAATCGACAAGATTTTAATTTTTTTAAGAATAATGTTATTTGTAATTACTCACTATCGTAGTCGTCATATGTGATATACATGTGATGATTAGTGATTTGATATTTGAGATAAAAAACTACTACATAATATATCAAATTACGAATCGCTATATAGGATGTCACATAGGATGATTATCATAGCGAGCAACTATGAATAACATTACTTTTTTTCTTAATATCGTTCAGTATTATCCAATTTACCTTAGCAAAGTATCAATAAAGTTTAGAATAGTAAACTACATATCCAATTAATGTAATAAGTCCAAGTGAGTCTCCTAGACTGAGAGAGGATGTGTTGTAATATGTTTTTTATTTCCATAGTATGGGCAAATTTCATTTTCTTGTTGTAGTCTTGTTGCATTCATTTACCCTGTCAATTTCTTAACTAATTTTTATTGAAGATTCTTACTCGGGCAATAATAAATTCATCGTAATTGTGTGAAGACCACAATGAATGTTTGATATTCAAGAATGAAAAAGGCTAGTTCAGTCTTTACTTTGTGAATTCAATTAATCAGTGAAATAGTGTTTTTTTTTTTTTTTTTTTCAAAAAAGCTCCCTTTGGCCCCCATTTTGTGGAAAATTAATGGGTGGAATCGTATTTTTTTAAAAAATGAGTGGTTGAAAAAGAAGGAAAAATTTTCGATTTATGTGTAATATTATTTTATGGAAGTTTGTATGGTTGAAAAAGAAGGAAAAGTTTTCAATTTATGTGTAATATTATTTTATGAAAATTTGTATTATTGAAAATAGGACAGATAAAAATGAAATGTAATGGAATGAAAATTAATGGGGGCCAAACGGGGGCTTACAACCCTAGCTCAATTACAAGCATCCTAGACGAATTTACAGTAACGTTAACTGATGATAAATGAATATGGAATTTGTTTGGAAAGTGTTTACAAACTGTTTAAATTATAAATAGATTAAAATAATAATAAGCCTCTATTTGAACACCATTTTTGTAAGAAAATGTATTTTAAAATAGTATTTTTTTGGAGAATATGTATTTACAAAAAAAGAAAATATTTTTATTTACATATGAAATTATTTTATAGAAGAATGTATGGTTAAAAATGAGTTTTAGAAAAATGGGGGTCAAACATTGTGAATTCCTTTTGAAGCACCACTTATTTTTAGATCCAACAAAGAGTTTGTTTGTTACCATTTAAAATTTCAAATTATTTGCTACAGTATCATTTTTTGTCATACATTCTCATAATAAAATATTATACACACAAATCAATAAAGTTTTCTTATTTTTTAACCACGCATTCTGTAAAAAATACTATTTAAAACTCTTTAATTTACCAAATAATGGATGACAAACAGGGGCAAAATGTGCACCCAGATGGTGCCTTTTTCCACGGGTAATAATATAGCCCCCTGTTTGATTGTCATTATTTATCCAAAACAATGTTCTAAACTGTGGTATTTAAGATAATGTATGGTTAAAAAATAGGAAAAAATAAAATTTCCGTGCAATTTTTTTTTATGCGAATATATGATTTAAAATGAGTATATAGAAAAAGGATAATACTATGCAATCTACTTGGATTACAACTCCGGTCTAGGGGTTGCTAGATGATAGAATGGAAATGTGGAATTGAATGACTTATTTAATTTCATATGTCACTTAATGTCACATTGATGTCACCTAAACTAGAATTGTAATATCTGTGGTATTAAATAGCATTACTAGAAATGTCGACGAACCAAATTAAGTTGGCTCACAAATCGAAACTCGAGACTCGAGCTAGACTTAAATAATATGGTGCAAGCAATTTTATATGCCCAAATCGAGATGAGCGTTTGCTCGACCAAAAAATCTAAGCTCGACCCTAGTTTTCGACTCAGGCCTATTTCGAGCCAAGCTCTCCCCCTCCTCCAAATAACTGTTGCCTAAATCCTAAACCCTATACTTATAAAAAAAGTCGCATGGTGCTGCTGCCTTTTAAAGCAATACTCGATTGCTTGAAAAGGGCTTTTCATTTTTTTTTCAAAGGTCTACGAGCTCGAGTCGGCGAGCCATATAGGCCAGCTTGGGCTTGGTTCTATCGAGTCTGGAGTTGGATCGGCTCGAACTTTTCTCAAATTGAGCCACGGTATATCCAAATTTGCTAGTTAAATTGACGTTCCTAAGCATTACTCATAAAGATAAAAATAAAAATAAAAAAGTCTTAAAATAATAATCTTCAAACGACCACAGCATGGTTGTGTCTCTTCGCTGCCCACGGCCACACAGATTCATTTACCAAAATACCCAATGAAAATACTCAACATAATCGACACTCGAGGTCATATTCGTAAATTTGCCTCATTTCCATCCGGAGTTTTGCTCCCGGTTACCTCCCTGCATTTTCTTTCGGCAAACACTGAGCATAAATAAGAATGTTTCTGACTATTGATCTCTGAGAATTGTGTATATATTGATTGAGAACTTGAAATGTATTTTTGAAGAAACGTCGTCTTAAGAGTATTTTAGGGCTTCGTTTTATAAACTCAAGCAGGGAATTCATGTTTTGTTAGCTGAAAAATGATGTTTTTACGAATTGGACGCTCTGTTTATCGATCCTCTCGCTCCGTATTTAATAAAGTAAGCTCCTAAATTCGTTTTCCCCCAATTTTAATTTTAATTTTAATTTTCACCTGCTTTTTTAATTTGGGTATTTTGTGCAGGCCCCATTTTCCGGTGGTAATGGAGTGGAACTAATGATTTTGAATGAATTGTCTCCCGAAAATGCGTGTATTGCACGATCGAGGGATGGCTTAGGGTTTATGAGGAGATATTTGACATCGATTGGAGCTGGGAAACTGGTTGTAAATGGTGGCACTTTGTCGGAATTTAACTCAGTTTTTGCGAACCCTAGGCTTATTAGGCTGTATTGTAACGAAGCGCCGAAGAAAAGAAGTAAGAAATATTGAGTATTTTGCCATGACAATGTTATGATATTATCTTTTCGGATACTTGTGGTTTTTAATATTCCTGAGGTTTAATTATGCTATTGTGTTGTTTCTAGACTATGAGAATTATTATCCAAAAAACAAGAAAGAAATCCCGAAAGGGAACAACCAGAAAGGGGAGCATAAAGGTTGGCAATCTTGCTATTTTGTACAGTGGTCACTTCTTCTCTTTTTCTAGAGCATTATATTTACCCTTGTTTGGTTGGGATTAATTGTTGACTTTGACTTAAATTCAAATCTTGATTTTAATCTCTACCCAACCAGGGATCTAACTTAGTTGAAGTAACGTGCTAGTTATAGTAGTTTCCTATTCAATCAATCTCGGGGCTGAAAAATTGAAAAGAAAAGTAATTCGAGCTTACTAAAGCTTAGGATAGAAACATCACTTGTAGATGTTACTACCTTACTGGTTAAGTGATGACATTTTTCATATATCTGATTTAAAGAACTCCCTGATTATGTCACGTAGTCTTCTTCCCTGTAATTTTCATCTGTTTGCAGAGGAGTCAGGCACGGGTGATCAAGGGAACAACCAGGACTTCTCCACTAAATTTCAAAGTTTTGTTGCCCCTTTGTTGTTGCTTGGATTTGTGCTTTCATCAGTATTTATGAATCCTCGTGAGCAGAAGCAGGTTAGTCCATATTGGGACTTAAATTCTGGCTTTCCAGTGTCCCCCCCACTCCATCTCAGTAGATATCCATTCACCTTTTCCAAAAGGAAACTCAAAATGATATTTTGGCAGCTGTTTCTGTATTGAAAGTAACAGAAATTGTTAGGTTAAAATGCATTTATGTGTGCACTGATGCATAAAACTGAAAATTAATAAATTCAGAGCTTCCCCTTTTCAATCCCTTGCCATAAAAGTCAACTTGCTGACCAAATTGTCTTTTGAAAACTTTGAACTGCTACTTGGAAAAGGGAGTCTTCTGGTTGCTGGATCTTCAGCATAACTGAATTTTATCTCAACGGATAGGGTAATTTTAAACAAAGCTTTAATTGACAAATTTGTACATGCAGGTAATGTTTGATGATCACTTAGTGTTCAGAGACTATCAAAGACGCCTTTGAGCTTTATGATAACATTAGAGACATCCCTCATGTTTAAAATTCAAACTTACATCCTTATTTTTAGTTTTGAGTATTGCATACACCCTTTCACCGCGTTTTGAGCCATATACATCTAAAATGAGGTTGATACACCTAAAATGCCTTATGAAGAAAAATATGAAATTTTTACAATTAGTTGTATTTAATTTATTCAAAGTAAAGTATAAGAATATAGATTGATACATTTTTAGATGAATTAGTATTTAAATTTCGTATACATATCTATCTACAATTAGTTAAAACGCAAAGCATTTATTACCAAATTCTTCAACAATTTTAGGTTTAAATTTTCACTAGCATGCATATTGAAAATTGTGTATGCACAAAGTCTGTAAATGTATTATTGTGTAGAAGAAATTATATTGCAACTAATTGTAGAATATTTCATCCTTTTTACAATGAAACGTGATATTATATTTTATATTGATCTGAAAGTGGTGAGGGGGTGTATGTGGTACTTAAAACAAATTATGGGAGGTTAGTGTGAATTTTTATTCGTGAATGAATGTTTCCTATATTGTCATAAAGCTTTATTATCTGGGCCAGGAGTAGGATAAATAACTAAATAAGACAAGAGCTTCCAAATTTTTTTGAAAGATGACTTTGACAGTGAGTCTCAGTTATTCAAATAAGACTAATATCAATTAATACCAAATAGATTTTTCTTTAAGCTGACGTCAGCGTGAAAGAAATTGAATTATTAAGCCCCCTCTCGGCCCCCTCTTTCTTTCAATTTTTTCTTCTCACTCTGATTTTCTACTACACAATCTTCCATAAGATAATATTACACATAAATCAAAAACTTTTCCTTCTTTTTCAACCACACATTCTCCAAAAAAACACTATTTCAAACATTAAAATTTGGAAGAGGGCCAAACGGGGGCTACATCAATTTTAGTAGCCATCTTTGACTAGCTATTTTAAGTCTACTTGGAGGGTTGAATACAGTGGCAGCCTAGT